AGATAATCTGGAAAAGAAAAAAGGTATCTATTAAGTATTTATTGAACTTTTTGGGGAAGAAAATGTAATAAACTTGGTTTTGGTCCTTTTGGATCAAGCTCAAAGTCAACATAACAATCCTAATCGTTTACTACATCATTAAATACTTTAGACTTTCTTTCAGTCTCCATGAAATTTTGTAGATCTATAATTAGATCATACGTAAAGTATACAGTCTCCTAAATTTCTGCATTTCCTATATCTTTCCTTTTCTATGTAAAGAGAACTTTGATTCGAATTCAAAAGGTTAAAACCGTATCTGAGTATACACAAAAATAAAAGCTTGTTCATGATCAGCTGGCCACCAAAGATACATTACAAAGTTTTTAAACCTAGTATATTGCCTCTTTAGACACGTGTCCGAGTCCTGTTAGATATAATAGATCTTGTCACCACTACTTCTCTACCGAAATTACATAAAAGCTCATTTCCATTTCTTTATAAGCAAGTAGTATGTCCCAGCATCTTTGGGAGGTTGTGTCGCCTCAATTAAATATACAAAAAGAGTATAAAAAGACTAAACTTACCACCACCAAATACCAATTGTTATTTTTTTTTTCAGGAAACATTTTAAATTAACTTGTCTACATATAATTTCATATATATTAATATACATAAAACGGTCCAATAAGACCATAGGCCCATTTCTATGGATACTACGTTATTTACATTAAGGCCCAGAGTCCATGGGCCCATCACCATGTTATTATTTTTATCGAACACCATAAAACTCCAAACAGCCAATCAGTGAGAAGGACAACCAATGAGACAATCATGAACCAAACCAAAACCTCCACCAGCGATAATAACACCAAACCGGCCATAACCGGAGCAACGTCCACCACCATACCGGATTGGATAACCGAGACAATCAACGGTGGATCATTCCGCCACGTAGATCTCCACACCGGAACCAACGGCTGGGCCTCACCTCCAGGCCACGTCTTCCCTCTCCGCTCCACAAACTACTTCACCAACAAACAAAAATCCCCCGGCGGAGACTACCTCCTCTCTCCCGCCGGCGTTGACTGGCTCAAATCCACTACAAAACTCGACAACATCATGTCTCGTCCCGACAACCGTGTGGCCCACGCAATCAGAAAATCCCACTCCCAAAACAGCTTCATCTTCGCGGCAAACTTCGAAATCTCAAGCAAGGAGGAACACTACCACTTAGTGTCCTACTTCGCCACGGAAGAACCTATCCCCTTAGACTCTCCCCTCAAGCGTTTCATCGACGGAGACGATTCTTACCGTAACCAAAGATTAAAGATAGTCAGCCAAGTCGTGAAAGGTCCTTGGGTGGTTAAGGCAGCGGCAGGGCATTTCGGGGCGTTTCTTGTCGGAAAGACCGTTAAGTGTAACTACCATAAAGGGTCTAACTACTTTGAGGTCGATGTCGACACAAGTAGCTCGGCGATAATGTGTGCGGTTATACGGTTTGTGTTGGGGTACACGAAGAGCTTTGCGGTAGATATTGGTTTGGTTATTGAGGCGCAAACGGAGGATGAGCTGCCGGAGAGACTCATCGGAGGTGTTAGAGTGTGTCATATGGATTTATCTTCGGCGTTTGTGGTGGGAGAGAAGGCGTTGGGACCGTGTGGAATGTTGGGTTCGGTCATGAGGACATTAACTGAATGTCAACGATGAAGGGATCTAGGTCAATGATGCTCCGATCAGGACAACAGTTAAATTATTTCTCAATGATGAAACTAATAATATAATTGATCTGTCTGAATACATTTTTTGAAACGTTGTTTATTTCTCTAAGAGTGTTGACTTTTGAGTATTTTAAAGCAATTTGCTTCGTTGTTTTTGATTCTCTTAATTTGCAAGTGTTTAACCTATATAAAAACAAAATAAACTCAAGTTTCTTTTCTTTTTGGGTTTGAGAATACTCATGTTTAATTATTTTTTGACGTTTTGTGGATTTTGATTTTTGCAGGATAAAGAGTTGTTTACACGATTTTTTTAGCATAGTGCAACTAAATCAAAATAATAAATAAGCGTGATTTTTCATAAAACAATTATTATTTTTGGTTATAAATTCTAAATATGATCATTTTGTATAGTTTATAATTAAAATATTAATATTAAAAATAATTAACATCTTTACCTAAAGGGGTGTGCAGCACCTCCCCAAGTTAGCATTTTTATTTTCCCATGTTTTTTTCTTTTCTATGCATATAAGACTTGCTTTGGACGGGAAAGGCCAAACCGGCCATGATTATAAAAAAAAATTATCATTTCAAGATCAGTCGGCCACCAAAGGAGCATAATAAGGTTTTACTAACCTAGTATCACCTCTTTAGGTACGTGTCTGAAGACTATTAGATCAAATAGATCTCGTCACCACTACTTACGTACTGTTACCAAAAAGCCCATTTCCATTTCTTTATAAGCAAAACAACAAAAATGTATGTCCCAGCATGTGTTTCTATATAAGCAAAACAGCAAAAAATGTATGTCCCAGGATCTTTGGATGTTCAGACACCATTTATTCATTAACTATATAAAGTAGAAAATCGACAAAAGTTTGCCACCACCAACTACCAACTGTTACTCTTTTCTTTTTTATTTAGGAAACATTGAAAAAGAACATGCCAATAAAAGAGCTTTACATTGCCCATTTCCATTTCTGTACATTCACTTACAACACTCTCTTCCAAGGCTATTGTCAAGTGTGGAGGTTATCACAGATGGCAGCCCAATTGATTTAAACACAATTGTTAGTGCTGAATTGTTCATGGGTTCGATCTACCGTAAAAAGAGTGCTTTAGGCCATTTTTATCGCCCGTATCTTGAATGGTTTTTAAGCCAAAAGTAGTGGGGGTCCACAAAAAAAGGAAGGAACGTATGCAAATGTCGCCAAAGAGAAAACGTTTTCAGAGGGTTGTTTGTACTGTTTGCGGGCCCCGCTGACACGTGGCGGCCCGCGATAAATTTTCTTTTAATTTTTTTTAAAAATCAGCCAAAATATATAAAAAAAAAAAATTTTGTTTGAAGAAACCCCAAATGGGTTTTACCGATAATGATGGCCTTATATCATAAATGGTATTAGTAAAGGTAAAAACCCATACTTCCTTGGGAAAAAAAGGTGTGGATGTTTAAAGCTGTGTGAGTTAACCGATCAAATATAATCCACTACGAATGGACCGGGACGGTTAAGAATTGACAAATTGGTCCGATGTGGCTAACCGGATTAAAATTTCGGTTAGGTTTCACATAAACGGTACTAATTAACTGATTATTTTAAATTAGAAAGACGGAGCTCGTCATTGCAAATTAGATTGGTAAGACTTTTCCAGCTTTGACTTCATCTTGAGAATCAGTAAAAGTACTGTCTTTCTTCCCTCTCTCGGTCAATTTCCGATGTTACGATCACTTGAATTTGGATTTCTAACTCGAGAATCAGTAGAAGAAGGAATTGTGAAGGATTATCACGAAAACAATTAGTTTCGGCGTTTGCAATGCTGTAACATCTTTGCTTTGTGTATGTTGGCTTAAGCTCAGTATCAGGTCATTGGTGTGTGGAAGAAGTGTATTAGGCTTAAATGATGATGCTGCTGAGTTTGTAGAAATATAATTTTTTTGCTTGCTGTATTAGAAACTTAGTAAATTACACTACTCTTACTCTTTTTTCACTGTACAGGGGGTGATAGAACAATTATATGATGTTGGTGTTTTTCTATAAGGGGCAAATTAAATCAATTTTACCATCTAGACTCCAGACTTACTGCCCAAACTCAAGTTCTTTCTCTGGAAGGTAGCTACTAACGCGCTTCCAACAGGAGAAAATTTGAGGATAAGAGGCCTCCTCAGCAATACTCTCTGCCACAGATGTGGAGAACCTGAATCCATAGACCATATTCTTTTCCATTGCAGGTATGCTAAGCAGGTATGGAAGGCAGGTCCGTGGAAGGAAGAGGTGTTTACCTCTGCACAAACAACCTTCAGGACTCTGATAGTTGAAGCCAGGGCTTGGACAAACTTACCGCCCTATGGAATCACATGAAGCTCCTTTCCATGGCTCTGCTGGTCGATTTGGAATGCGAGGAATCTTCTCATCTTTGAAAGTCGAAGCTTCACCCCGGAAGAGATAGTCACCAAAGCGATTACGTCCCAAAAAGAATGGGAGATTGCACAGACCAACAGACCGGCAACAACACCGACATCGAGACCTCTTATGAAACCAACCGTTATCAACGATACAACCACCTTCTGTAATACGGATGCAGCTTGGAGATCTGACAGGAAAGCAGCAGGGTTAGGGTGGATCTTCACAAATCGACATTCACAGACCCTCCACCGAGCTTCTTTAGGTCATCTCAATGTGTCCTCCCCTCTCATGGCTGAAGCTTTAGCCATTAGAGAAGTCCTGATTCACGCCTCATCACTCAACTACTCCGATATCTGTCTCCGCACAGACTCTCAAGAGCTCGCCAGAGCTATCACCATGAGAAGACGTTCGACTGAAATCTACGGAATCCTCTCGGACATCGACTCTTTGGTCTTCTCGCCTTCTTCCCCTTTTCGATCATGTTCGATCGTTTTCATCTCAAGAAGCCTTAACGGGCCAGCAGACTCCTTAGCTAAATCTTGTCTTGTTTCGTTTTTGGGTCTGAGGCCATAAAACTCTTTAAGTTTTTAATCAAAAATCCAGTTGCCCAAAAAAAAAAAAAAACTAAAAGTCTACGTGTCACTTTAGGACATCATTGGCATGGAGTTTGACTTGTAAGTCAAGCAAAGCTTACAATAATTAGTAAGTCCATAGGCACCACTGATCTCAGAGGTTTTGCCGGAAAGTTCTGAACACCATTGGTTCCAGAAAACGTTGAACTGCTGCTTTCTGTTTTTTTTTTGGTTCTTTTCTTTCTCTCCTTCTCCTTCATTCCTTATTCCGCGCAGCGTCTGTGTGTGTTGGTGTCTGGATTATCATCTGAGGTTTCTGCAAAACCAAAATGGGATATGCGGAGTTGGTGCAGTCTTATTCGAACAAGATGCGTGTAGTTGAAGCCCCAGCAAGTGGACGCGGTCTCAGGTCACACACTTCCTTCTCCTCTCTATTCCATCTCAGCTTAAAGATATATCAACTTATAGTCCATTAATTATATAACTTTCAGCCAAGATGGAAAGTTTAGCTATGGATATGCAAGCTCAGTTGGGAAGAGATCATCCATGGAAGACTTCTTTGAGACCAGGATCGATGGTATTGATGGAGAAATCATCGGTCTCTTTGGTGTCTTTGATGGTCATGGTGGAGCCAGAGCAGCTGAGTATTTGAAGCGTCATCTTTTTAGCAATCTTATCATTCATCCTAACTTCATTTCCGACACCAAATCTGCGATAGGTTTTTTACTTCTTCCAAGTTCTTTTGGTTCCAATTTATTACTGTTTGATTCTGAAACATTTGCTTTTGTTTTGTTTTTTGTTTTACAGCTGATGCATATAATCATACAGACTCTGAACTACTCAAGTCAGAGAATAGTCACACTAGAGATGACGCTGGTTCAACTGCCTCTACAGCTATACTAGTTGGTGATCGTTTACTTGTTGCAAACGTTGGTGATTCCAGAGCTGTTATTTGTAGAGCCGGAAACGGTAATGTTATTGATAGTTTTGTTCAACAGCTCACTCAGGATCGTTCCTGATCATAGGCTAGTAAATCATTGGCCTATGACCTCCAAAATTTTAGGAAAAGTCTGTATATATATATAGATCCCAAATTTATATTTTTTTTTATATATTATCCTTTCCGTTTTAATTTAGTTGTCATTGTATACTAAAATTTTCGTTTTAAATTGTCCTTTAATGTAAAATTTATTGACTTTATCTTCTATTATATTTTTAATTAGTTTAAATGTGGTTAGGTGTATAAATAATTATGTTTTTCTAAAAATATGTAAAATTAAATGTTTTTTTAATCTGTGAGTAAAAACCCAATATGACAAATAAATTGAAACGGAGGGAGTATCTTTTAGTAAATTGTCTATAGCCTCTAAAACTCAAGACCGGTCTTGCTCACTTGTTATATGATGTGAATGTCTCTGAATGAAATATGGTTCATGTGTTGTGTAGCCTTTGCAGTGTCAAGAGACCATAAACCTGACCAAAGTGATGAGCGTGAACGGATTGAGAATGCTGGTGGTTTTGTCATGTGGGCAGGTGATAAAGTAATGCTGTTTTCTTCTTTTCTTGTGCATAGTGCTAACTTCTAGATTGAATAGGGACTTGGAGAGTTGGAGGAGTTCTTGCAGTTTCTCGCTCGTTTGGTGATAGACTTTTGAAACAGTATGTTATTGCTGATCCAGAGATTCAGGTACATATAATTATAAATCAAATGAAGATGATCTCCTTTAACACATCTACTTGTGTGTTTAAATTTCATGTCTTCATGGATGTTCCTAGGAAGAGAAGATTGATGATTCTCTTGAGTTTCTGATCCTTGCCAGCGATGGATTATGGGATGTTTTCTCCAATGAGGTTTGTCAATTAATTTATACTCTCTCCGTTTCAAAAATGAACAAATAATTGTTTTTAAAATACTGTTTTACATTTTAAATGTATTTTTATTAGGTAGTAATGGTAAATTGTGAACTCTGAAAAAAATAATTGTGTTTGTTAAATTTCTATGGGTTAAATGTAGTGGAAAATAGTTAATCATTAAAAATAATACCTGTATAATCAGAATTTAATGTATTTTATTAAAACATAAATCATTTTGAAACTTTGAAACGGAGAGTATGAATTATGATATAAAGCTTGATTTCATCCTCAGTGATTGAGATCTCTTTGTAGGAAGCTGTTGCAGTGGTGAAAGAGGTTGAAGATCCAGAGGAGTCCACCAAGAAACTTGTGGGAGAAGCAATAAAGAGAGGAAGTGCTGATAATATTACATGTGTAGTTGTTCGTTTTCTGGAGAACAAGACTCCTAACATCAAAGCTTCCGACATATCCTCAACACATTCCAGCTCATCTCTAGGACAGACCGCAGTTAGAACTGACTCAGACCATAACATGACAACCAAACAAACCAATCAAGACCATACCGTAGTGAACTTGGACCGCAATGCTGAGGTCGCAGCTAGAAGTGACGATTCAGGTCCCATCAGCTCGAACCAAAAGACAATTCAGAGCGGCTCAGAGTCTAAGATCTCTGCCAAACAACCTAGTCAAGGGCAAAGCGCAGTACACACCAGTTTGGACTGGAACATTGCTAATCAGAAACCGGCCTAAGCTAAGGCATTGCAGCAACTCACACCACTTCCTCAGAACAGAGCAGATCAATAGATGAAAAGAATCAAAAGCAAACCACAACAAGCAAGCGAGTACCGTTCCCTCTTATCACTAACTAAAAAGTCAACACTAACTTAAGAATGATCTTTCTGAGAATGATCTAGTGAGATATATTATTGTGCATGTTTTTTTGTTCGCTTATTTGCCCATTAAGGCCCGACAACAATACTTTTCCCCAACATCGCAAAAAGTCACAAAACTATCAATAAAAGTTTTCATTTTCATAGATACAGTATCTCTTTTTCAGTGCTATGTTGCTTTGAATATATCTTTCAAACTTTAAGCTATATACAATGTAAGATGTTTAATTTATTAATTTAGTTGCCCATATGATAAAATATATTTTATGTATATATGAATGTTTTAAGTTTATTTTACATGATAAAATATATTTTATTAAAATAATAAAACTTTATCGTATATAAAGAGTTTGATATTTAATTAATTATTAAATATTTCAAAAACATGAAATAATTTATTCTAATATTTTTGAATTAATATTATATCTATTTAAAAATTTATTAAACCCACCAAACACCTAACTGATGATCATGATCGTTAGCCCTGGCAAAAAAACCAATCGGAACCGAACCAAAATACCCGAAACTGAAACCGGACTAAAATTTTTAAATATCCAAATGGTTTCTATATTTCTATACCCGAAAAACCGAATCGAAACCGGAACCGAACCGAGAACCAAATGGGTACCCGAATATCCAAAAAAGTTAAAGTTTTTTAATATAAGATAAAATGACATCTAACCCACTTGAACCCAGGTTGGATACAAAGATTAAGTACATTTTTACCATCAGACCACATTCTGTTTTATTATTCTCTTATATTATAAATATACATATATATAGTATTTCTATATTAAAATATGATAAATATTTATAAAATTAACACTTTATTTATTCGAACTCTTGTTGGATTGACGAATATCTAAGCGTGTAAACACCAGACCATTTAAATTAACATATTAACTAATATATTCTATATATATATATATTTGATTTATTTATTAAACGGGTACTCGGAACCGAACCAAAACTGAACTGGAACCGAACCAAAATCAAACCGAAATCTCATAAGTATCTATTGGATATAAGAATGATTTATCCGATATATCCGGAACCAAATGGTTACTATACGGAACCAAACCAAATATCCGAATGTCCAGACCTAACGAAGACCTAACGATCGTCATGTGGTAATTCTTAGCAAAACACCTAGTTTTTTTTTTCTTTTTTTGGTAAAAGGAAGCACCTAGTTGTTTGATTATAGTAACAGATCTTAAGACTTACGAGTCATTGACTACACATTGATTTCACTTTCTTAGTTTAGATTAAGTATTAATTAAATTATCTACATTGTAAAGTTTCAAAAAAAGAAAGTTTCAAAAATGAAAATGCCATTTGAGCGCTAATAATGATCGTATATATTGCTGCCAAATCTCTTTAATTTGAGCCCAAAATTTCCGCATATAACCTTGTAGTAAATTATATTACCAGTCATATATTTCCCTTTTGAACTCAAAAGGAATACTTTATGATTTCTGTGTCAGAATACCGTCGTTATCAAATTCTATCTGCGTCAGAATATCTGTCACTATTTGTGACATTCAGTATGCGTCAGAAAATCTATACCAAAAATTACGTTACCTTAAATATATCTGAGTCAGTCCCTAGATTTCCGCGTTCAGTGTTTATGAATCTTTGTCAGAATATCTATGTTACCTTAAATAACAAAACATATCAGTCAAAGTTGCACAAAAAAAAACCGTCGACAAAACAAATCAAATAAATGTAATAATTTTGTTTTTTTTTTTTGCTTAGCAATAATTTTGTTATTCTTTCCTTCACATTACTGATACATATGTATATAAATAACAGATCATGTTTTCAGTCTTGGAGACTAAAAGAAACTAAAACCAAAAGAGATCATACTAGGATGGCTCTCGTTATTATGAATCTTTTACTTATTTTATTCTCGGTAGCCTTTGCTCGTTCCGATCAAACTAACATGCCCCTCAAATCCTTCAAGGTCAGTTTTTAAAAATCATTTTCTCTTATATATATCGTCGCTGAATTCAACAACGTTTTTTTTTTAATATAAAATCTGTTGTTGTTGATCAGATTGGCGAAAATGTAACTTACGACTGCATAGATATTTATAAGCAACCAGGTCTTGATCACCCTTTGCTCAAAAACCATACGATCCAGGTGCATATTTTTAGAAATTCGCCTCCTACTTACAATTTTTTTTTTATGAAGTGTTATTCTAAACTTGACTATGCAATTACTTCTTTCTTTTGGTGGAAAAGATGAAACCATCAAGGACTGAATTAAATAGTCAAACTGACAACAACATCACACAACAAGGTAAAATAAAATGTCCCAAAGGAGCCATTCCTCTATTAAGAAATACAAAAGAGTTCGTCACCAACGCTAACCTTTTCGGCGAGAAGTATGTCCATCCACAATCAGAAGATAGTAGAATACATGTAAAATATTTTCACTTTCCTTCTAATATCTCAGATCTAATATTTATTATTAATGTTTATATATATATATATATATATATATATATATATTTATTTGTTATAACCGTTTTCTTGGTAGATTGCTGGAGTAAGGTCACAGGCTGGTCCATTTCGTGGTGTACAATCTTGGATTTATGGAGTTAACCTAAAAATGGAAAAGGATGAAGCCGCATTTAGTCAAGTATATGTTGCCAGTTCGGTAAAGAACAAAGTCAATTATATCTCTGCGGGGTATATGGTAGGTTTTACATTTTATTGTTTATTTATTCCCTTAATCCATATTATCTTGATGGTAGTCTTAAAGTATTACAACTATTGCTCACAGATAAATCCAGGCTTTATTGGGGACGGACGTGTTTGGTCATATGGATACTGGAAGGTAATGAACAGATTATTTGGTTTCAGTTAATTGTGAATAAGAACAAAGAGAAAAATAATAGAAATAAATAAGAATATTATTTATGTATGACTTTTAGGCGCTTTTTCCCCACCAGCAAGAAAACAATTTTGTTCTGTAATTTCTCAACGTTAGAGGGATGAATGGAAACATTGAATAAAAAATATTCCTTACACATGGTGCAAAGTGGTCACCATTTAAAGTCATTATACTTGATGAAAA